GTTGCAACTCTTGCGTCATCAGAACAGGGTGTTCAACGCACCACCGTTTCCGTTTAAAAAACGTTTTGCACCCAGTGTTGCCAATTTAGCTACTTTGTAGCTAAATTTAGTGACTTCCCCGCCCCTTTTGAGACTTTTTTCAAAAGTTTAGGGACAAATATAGCAACTTCTTGGACAAACCTTATCTAAGTTCTCATCTTGCCCACTGATCTACGTTCATCTTTATATAGATCAGTGAATTTGCCATTGTGATGTCATCTAGTGACATTTAGCTACCAGTTTTAGCTACTTTCAACTGAAAGCAGTTGGCAACACTGTTTGCACCACTTTTGTTGGGGCTGAACGCAGCCCTGCACCTAACCCAACGCAACAGAGTGCGGTGCAGGACAACTCTTGATAGGTGAGTGCAGGTGCGGGCGGGAAGAGACTCGTGTGTGTGCAGGATGTGGGAGAATAAAATGGGTACTCCCGCAAAATAGAAATGATCTAAACATAAAGTGTCTAAAACATAAAATGTTTTATTTATCTGTTGCACAAAAGCAAAAAGAACAACGAATAACTATTAACATTAAAATGATTGACATGCGCAAGCTAGGCAGAGTTTCTATTTATAACACGTGTTTAAAGGGTTGCACAATGTAGCCAATCACAGACTCAGCTGTTGATTTCTGGAACGCAATGGCCAATCAGAGGTGATTAAGTTAGAATCTACTCACCGCAGTGCTGAAATTGCGTGCTCACGAATCCTCTCATTTTAACACACGAAGTGTAGACACTGTGATAGATTCATTGTGCATATATTTATTGTGTTATAACAGAGCTTTATGAGATCGCGATTAACTGAGATGTCAGCTTTTAGTGATAATAAAGAAAGCGCTGCTCGCATTCTGCCTTGCCAAACCATGCACGCAGCAGCCCATGCTTGCTTTTCTGTTAAAAATAACAGTGGTTTGTGAATGTTGATGCTTAGCCTAAATAACAAATATTTTATCGGGTCCAGTCCAGTCTGATGCCACATCAAAGTAGTTTTCCCAGTGATGTTTATTCATGCATAACAATTCCTAAAAATGTTCTACTTCTGTGTTCCACAGGACAAATAACAGTGTGCAGGCTTGAAACAACATGAGGCTGAGTAAATAATAACAGAATGTTCATTTTTTTTGGTGAACTATCCCTTTAACATGTGACTGTATACACTGCAGTTGAGGTTCATAATTACAGGAATCTGCAGGGCGCCTCATCGCAAACGATGCAATTGACACACAAGCAAAAACACAAATGAGAACAAAAACAAATTCCAAGAATATGTACAAATTTACACAGGGGAGCCAGTTAAAGAAGATGTCACTTAAATAGTGCAACCAAATGGCCATCACAGTGTAAAGGCTTTTGGGTAAGCATGATTTATCACTAAGCATACACCATGACATGCTTGAGCGCGTGCATCTACTCTGTTCGGCTTCAGTCACCAAGCAATTTCAAGACACGCTGCACCTAATCTATAAGATGGTAAAAAGTGTGGAGGTCATTGCAAAAACTGAAGAAACCCAGCAGGGCTAAACGAGAAAAATCCATCTGACCAATATGACCCTTCTCTATGCATATCATCAGTCTGGGTGATTGTGAGACGGTTGAGATGTGTGGGAGAGACTGTAGCAGTAGGGGAGCTGTGACTGTGCATGTGGTGGACGTCTGAACGCACTCTCTCTGGGTTTGAGTCCAGTATAAATTCATGTTTCATTTGAGGTTTATATGGTTTATGAGAATACATTTTATCTTATATAGTATCAATATCCAAGCAATACTATAACATTACTGTACTGTACGCTTGCACTACTGTTCAAAAGTTTAGGTTCTGTAATATTTCTGAATGTTTAAAAAAAAAAAAAAAGTCTCATGCTCACCAAGGCTCAATTTATTTGATAAAAACAGAAAAATGTGTAATATTGTGAAATATTAATACAATTTAAAATAACAATTTTCTACGTAAATGTTTTTAAAAATGTAATTTATTCTTGTGATGGCAAAGCTGAATGTTCAGCATCATTACTCCAGTCTTCAGTGTCACATGATCCTTCAGAAATCACTCTAATATGCTGATTTGCAACTCAATCAGCTAAACTTTGATTATTATTATCAATGATGGAAACAGTTAATATTTTTGTGAAAACCATTACATTTTTGACAATTTTTTCAAGATTCTTTGATTGATAGAAATATTGATCTCTATATATATATGTATATTGTCAATTTAATTTTGCCCCTGTGGAATAAAAGTATTAATTTTAGAGTGCAGGCTAAAAAAAACAACAACTCACTTACAGATAATTTAGTGTTTAAAGTCATTTTAAGTTTGTTTAGACAATACTGACAGTGATGATGTGTGAGTGGTTGTTGTTTGAGCGAGTTGTTTGTAATTAGACAATTTCCACAATTTGGACCCATTAAGGCAATTTGTGGGCCACACTAGGTGGGTATTTTTGCACTGACAGCGACATCAGCCAATCATAGTGACGTGGAGGCTCTCAATGAGATCCAAAGGGAGCCAAAACAGTCACTGCCTCCCTCTTTTTCTGCTGGTATCACTGTTGGATAGTCATAAAAAACTGTTTAATAAAAATGAGTGATTGTGAATTCACGCAATATTTCAGCTCATAATTTCAAATATTTGTTTTCCTTATTTTATATTTGATTATTTTCTCATTCAATTTATTTTGAAGAGGTGCCTCCTCAGAGAAAACGCCTCTGATGTGTGTTGCTTTGACAGACTTACGTAGTAAATACTCTGCTGCATCCTGCTCATAATCTGCATCCTCTGGAAAGTGGTCAATCTTCTTACAGACACCTCGAAATGTTCCTGCAGCCATGAAGAACAGAGAGTAGAGGAGAGAGAGAGAGTCAAATACCATTAGTCTATTTTTTGCGTGCATGTGTTGGAGTGCATATAAATACACACACACACTACAGGAGTCCATTTTATGTGTAAATACTAAAGTAAACGTGTCTTGGTGTTTATTTTGCAGCATGCTTAGGTCAATGAGCACAGTCCTAGTAAGCTGCTTGCTATGTGTATATGTGTGTGCGTATGTGCACGGATGCATGCTGTCTTGTGCATTCACTGACAACCCCTGTGCGCTCAAGATGACAAATTAACAAAAATAACGCTTCTGCCCTCGGGCGTAACATGTGACCGGCTAATGAAGAGGTTTATCGTACCAAATACATGCGCCCTATGTAGGGGGAAACCATTCTGACAAATACTGTTACATTCTCTGCTGCATTAAAGGAGGAGAACACAGCTCAAATGATCGGTGTGTGTTTGATATATTTCCAGTTTAAGCAATTCTCATGTATCATCTTCTCTGCTAGTATTAATGCACAGTACTGTTAAAATACAAAGTAACTGTTAAAATATATGAATTTCAAGATGTAACCAAACTAAATATTTAACCCTCATTTTCTGGTTAAATATTTTTGTGCTTCCAGAGATCCCCTTGATTTACATAATTTAAAATTAAATCAACCTCTTATTTTCCCTTCAAATTCTTTTGATATGCTCCTTGGACCAAATCAAAACCCATCTGACAGATATTATTGAAACATTAAACCTCTGTTTTATTATATAATTATCATTTCTATTCTCAAATATGTTAGTGGTATGCATTCTGGCTCAGTTTGATCATAGCAAAAACACACTGTGGAAAAATATACTTAAATTAAATTTACATTTTAAATTAAAATATATTTAAATTAAATAAATTAATAAAATCCTTACAACACACAAAAACATCACAACATGTCTACAAATATCACCACGTGAATTTTTATTATTTTTTTTTTACTTGGAAATGGGTCAAAGACGTTTAAGCATAAAAACAATAAGTGTAATACTGCTTTAAATGGTTGTTGTTTTTCCCCAAAAAATGTAAAAAGTTTTCTGTTTAATTTAATTGCAATTTTGTTTTTGTTTTTCCGAGCAAAAAATAAATATCATACATTTTTCCCTGATTTACAGAAGACACCCACTAAAATGTCATTCAGTGTAACAAATTTGTCAGGCATATTTACAACAAAAATCAATTTATGACATTAAAAGACTAATTACTTTCACCTCAAATACTAATTAGTTGTAATTTTACATTTTAAAAATTTGCCACAATCCTAGGTTTTGCCCATTTTTCAGTAAGAATTTGTACTCATTTAAAACACAATAAAATGTAATATGCTCCCTTATTCTTTTATATATTTTAATATGTACAA